AATTTTTTTAATTTTGAAAAACGAAGGATAAAAAAATAGTGTAGTTTATTGTATTGTGAAACAAATTATGTCTTAGAACAGTCAGTGTGACTCTGGGATTACATGGTTTGTTTAGATTAACTTGTTGGCTCTCCTGATTGTGAGGCTTGTGGGCTAGCTTACACTTGGGACAGCCACCATTCAAGGGAGCAATCTGTGTAGTGACAGTAACAATAAATAATATTGTGTTGTGTTTTTGTATTAGTTAATTTTCTGCAAGACACTAGCACTGCTAGTAATGTACATAGTGTCTTCCCTGGAGATGGCATTCCCCTAGGCATGGTTGATGGCTGGTAAAGTTCATCCATGTGGACCAATATTTCTGCAGGAGCTTGTAAATGAGCCCCTTCCTGAAGGCTCACTGAGTCAGTCTTACTCCAAAGGTTTTGTGATGAGATAGCCCTATCTCATCGGCAACAATTTCCCATGATAAGGCATTCCTGCCACCTGTGCATGGAGCAGATTTTATTCCATGATGAGAGGTTCCCATACTCATCCCTCAGCCAGATATTTTCATGACAAGTCATCCATGTCATCCATATCAAATAGGTTAAAGACTAAGCTCCAATCTATGTTTTTGATGGCAGCATTAAGTATTGATATGTATTATATAGATAGGGTAATTATATATGATTTATAAAAGATTTCTTAATAACATGCTTCCTTAAACTAACCATCAATCCCCTTTTTTCAGTCATGGTGTATCTTTGTCAGAAAAGGAGAATGTATTGACTTTGGTCTAATAAGTCTAATCTTTTAACTTTTCTAGCAAGATGGATTACTTTGTGCACAGCACTGCCTTAACAACCTGCTGCAAGGACAGTACTTCAATGCTGTAGACCTCGCAGAAATAGCCCAAGAAATGGACCAAGCAGAACAGCGTCACATGGCTGAGTTTGGCATGCAGACAGAGGACTTCAGACGATTTATGGAGGTGCATAAGATAGCTTTAAGAACAGTTTTTGATGAAAGGGAGATATGGAGTGATTAGACTGAACTATGGTTTTCATGAGTTGTATATTGGCTTGCTTTTAGTCAAGTGCCTTGCAGCTGAGATCAGGAAAAAAAAGATAAATAATCATAAATGTATTCTTGGATATCATATTAATTTTTTTTTTGAGGAATGGGAAAGATTGCAAAAATTGCTCATACCTTTTCAGCAACCATCTGTGAATATGGATGACACTGGGATGTTTAGCGTCCAGGTGATCACTTCTGCGTTGAAGCTGTGGGACTTGACGCTTGTTCCATATGAGTCATCCAGTAATTTAGCCCAGAAGGCACGAGGCAACCCCACGTGAGTCAGATGGTGTTACTTTTCTCCCAAAGATTTTTTAGTGGCTGCAGTAATGTCTGGAGGTGGTAAGTCTGTGTAGGAATGCAGGGGCTTGAGTTTACAGGACCTTGTCATTCCTTTCAGTTTGAAATGGCTGATATATTAGAAAGTTAGGGGATCTAGTATACTCGGGGAGAGCCAAGATACTTTAATTGTGATGATTATTATATATAGAGTTCCTATCCTTGTTTTTTTTTATAGATAGTCTATGAATAAGATGTTGTTATTACTTTGTTATCTTTAGTTACTTCAGGTAGTTTTGAATAGGTGTGAATCCTTTGATAATATTTTTATATGGCCTTTTTCTGTTATTCATGTTTGATTTATTTTATGGTCTTTTGCCTCCTATGAATGAGTTGACAAAAGAGGAACTAGACCATGAAATTCATTAGCATCCCATTATACTGATTAATAGTCATCAAATTTTGTCATTAGGGATCAGCAGGCTTACATCTGTAATTTCAAGGAACACTGGTTGACTATGCGAAAGCTAGGCTACCAGTGGTTCAATCTCAATAGCCAGCTGCCCTTCCCTGAACCCATCTCTGACACATACCTGGCACTCTTCCTCAAACAGCTTCAGCATGATGGTGAGTGAGTGTTTGTGTTGTTTATTATTTTAGTATTCCCTGCTAAAGGAAGGCAGGCAACATATCCTCAGAGATAACGACATGGGGACTAAATTTAGGCCTGCTCTGCCTGCTGATCAGACACTTTCAGCTAATTACCTAGTTACTTGTCTTGGTGGATTGCCCTGATCCTGCCCCGAGTCTAGTGTTACTGTTGTTTCTTTCCTTTAATGTTTATATATAAAAATTTACCTTAGTACCACCACCCTTTAAAATTTCAGTTTGAAAGCTTACTCAGTGCCTGAATAGTTGATTGAGATAAGTGACATCTCAAAAATAACCCTTATGTTGCTTGCCTCTTTTCAGTGGGGAACAATGCATTTTTATACTAGGGTCTAACAGGGCTAAGTTGTAGGAGGTGTGTGAGTAATGATTTATTTTATTTTAATTATTTTTAGATGCTGATAATGTCCCATATTCTCCAAAAGTTGCTGTATTCTTGATGAACAACCTTATTTTCCTTTATATTTTAGGATATTCAATATTTGTAGTTGAG